ATTATCCAGAGAAGGTGGATCCCACCTAGGACCCAGAGAAGGGGCAAGAACCATAGGAAGAAGATCAAAGGAGTGTGGAGTCCCACAGGCCAGGGAAGGGAGTAGTCAGCAGTCCCAACTGCCACAGAGGACCCTAGGGTTGCAGGGTCTAGGATTGGTATGTACTGTATGGGCCAAAGTCCAGAATCAAAGACGATGGTTAATGAGAAAGTCAAAACAACACCCAGATGCTTTACCAAAAAGCTTAGCAAAAATAAGAGTCTGGGAGGAGGAGGTGGGCCAACAGCTTATAGGGGTTTGTTGTGAGGGCTGAACAGCAAAGCCAAGGATGAAGGCAGAGGTGAGAGGAGGCATGGTGGTCAGGTAGAATAGTAGACCCCTGAGATGGAAGAAAGGTGAAGTTAGGTGTATCTGCAGAGACATCAGTATACAGGATGAGGACACTTGGAATCATTTGGCTGATAATCTCAGTGAAGCCAGAAGAGAAGTATTCTGTAGGTCACGGAGGGCAGAGAGAGCTGTGGGAACCATGAAAGCTGGTAATTAGCAGCCCGAGGTTTGGAATTTCTAGTGGCCCCAGTCCTATTCTGATCTGTGGATTTTGTCATTGTATAGATAGAATACAGCTGCTGAGCATGCAAGTAGGGTGAGGTAGACTGAAACTGCTTAACTGAAAGGCTGCTTATGGGGTCAGAGAGGGCACGAGGATATGGCAGTGACCATGACAAGACAGTCTCGACTGCCCTTAGGGAACATACCACATTTTGGTAGAGGAAGCAGACATATTAGTGCACTGCAGCTTAGAATGAGCACTGTGAGAAAGAAGGCAATGAGTTGTGTTCAAAGCACAGAGTGGAGTGAGGATGGGAGAGGGCTAAGAAGAGGTAGAAGAAGTTGTCAGAGGTAGACCCAGGAGCGCTGAGGCCTAGAGATGATGTGTCACACAACAAGGTTTAGAGTCTTGCGTAGGGCTGGGAGGTCATATGGGCATGTTGGCCCAGAGAAGGGATGTGGAAAAAAGAGCAACCATGTGTGTCCTGCCTCTCTTAAAGTGTGCTCACTTAAACTCTACCCCCACTCCAACCAAATACAGTGGTTGGTCCTCAGTCCACATCCTGCTTCAACCAAGAGCATTCAGTGTGCTGATCCCTCCCCTCTGTGAAGCACTCTCTTTCCTAGCTTCCAGAATCCCATCCCTCTCCTCACCTCCAGTTGTGCCTCCTCATTGCCCCAGCCTGTCAGCTTTGGCACATCCAGGGTGCTCTCATCTAATTTCATGGCCCTAAATCCCATTTCTAATTCTGATAGTCCCCAAGTTGCTATCCACTCCTTGTACCTGCTTGCCATCTCCACCAGCAAGTTGCCAGGAATGTTTTTCTAAGAGGAATCTCAGACTCAACATGTTCCAAACTGAGCTCTCAACCTTTACCAAAACGTGTTTCTCCTCCAGCCTCACTATCACTATCCTTTCAGTTGCTCAGGCTCCAAACCTCAGAGTTTTCCTTGACCACACCTCCCTCCCCCCCCCCCACCCCTTTATCCTGTCTGCTCTGTCTTTAAAATCTTAGCCCATGAGAAATCCTTTAAATAGCTCATAATGTACATGTATTTGATTCTGTATGGTTCTATAAAATAATATGTGTAATATTTATAGCAATATGCTGTATATAAAAATATACTTGTGCAAAATTTAATTCTCCAATATTTTTTATTTTATGTGAGACAAAAGAATGAGGGGTGGGTGTTTATGATAGGTTGGGTTTGAGTAAGCCACAGTATATCCTGCAGAGCCGAAACACTCCAAACTTCCGTGGAACTGCTCATGCAACCAAGAAGTCCTGCAGAAAAGGAACCGCAGACCCTTTAGAAAAAATGTTTGGTCTGTAGGGTTCACTAGGCATTTAGACCCAGAGTCTGTGCTTGTGCCCAGGGAGTGAGGGAGGGCAGTGGGAAGGTTTTGACTCCATGAGTGGTGATCCTTACCTACTCTGATCTGCTACCTGGGACCAGGTGAGGCTTCAAGCTCTGAGGAAGAGCCTCCATTTCCAGAGGATAAAGAAAACCAGGCCCCAAAACGGGCTGGTCCACATCTGCGCTTCGAGATCAGCAGTGAGGATGGGTTCAGCGTGGAGGCAGAGAGCTTGGAGGGTGAGTTAGGATTAATGGTCACAGGAAGGGAGAATGTGCCATAGAATACCATCCTGACTCTGCTGTGGCTCTGCCCTCTCCTCAGGGGCGTGGAGAACTCTGATTGAGAAGGTGCAAGAGGCCCGAGGGCATGCCCGGCTAAGACATCTCTCCTTTAGTGGTAAGTGGGGGATCCACAGGGATGCTGGGGGCTGAGATCACGTCCTGAGAGCAGGATGGGTCACTGACATGACTTGTGCATCCTCACCTTTGATTTCCCTCAGGAATGAGTGGAGCAAGGCTTCTCGGCATCCATCATGATGCTGTCATCTTCCTGGCAGAGCAGCTGCCTGGGGCCCAGCACTGCCAGCACTATAAGTTCCGCTACCACCAGCAGGGAGAAGGCCAGGAGGAGCCACCCCTGAATCCCCATGGGGCAGCCCGTGCCGAGGTCTATCTTCGGTGAGAGGTCTGGGGTGTGATGCCTGGGTTGGGGGAACCGTATGGGCAGTCTTGAGGGTGGGAATTAAGTCTGTACAGATTGGAAACTGAGGCCCGGGAGAAGACACTAGGTCATCCCAGGAATTATTTCTAGGGGTCATATCAGAATGAACCTCATTCATTCCCCTTTTGCTTTGTCTTCAGTAGTAGTTGTATTTCTCTTACTCTGCCAGCAGCAGGTCCAGGCCAAGAATAGGAGAGTAGCATCTCGAAGGAATGGATCTGTACCTCCGTCCTTTTTTCTCTTTTACCTACAGGAAATGCACCTTTGACATGTTCAACTTCCTGGCCTCTCAGCACAGGGTGCTCCCTGAGGGAGCCACCTGTGATGAGGAAGAGGATGAGGTACAGCTCAGGTCAACCAGGTATGGAGGACAGGCCAGGGAGCTGGGGTAGTCTGGAGGGTCTGACAGGGTTACCAGGGGCAAAAGAGATCATTTCGCCCTAACCAGTTTGGCTCAATGGATAGAGCGTCGGCCTGAGTACTGAAGGGTCCCAGGTTCGATTCTGGTCAACGGCATGTACCTTGGTTGCAGGCACATCCCCAGTGTGCAGGAGGGAGTGTGCAGGAGGCAGCTGATCGATGTTTCTCTCTCATCGATGTTTCTAACTCTCCCTCTTCCTTCCTCTCTGTAAAAAATCAATAAAAAATATATTGAAAATAGATGTTTATGGTTAATAAGGTAATTAGTCCATTTATCCTAGTAATGTACTAAGTACTTTACATATATTATCTCATTTAATCCTGGAGGTAACCTGTGAAGTAGGCTTCATCACATGAACCCATTTTTCAAATAAAGAAATGAAATAAATATTAAACAATTTGACTAAGGTCACACAGGAGGCAGGATCGATGTTTCTCTCTCATCGATGTTTCTAACTCTCCCTCTTCCTTCCTCTCTGTAAAAAATCAATAAAATATATTTAAAAAATAAAGAGATCATTTCTGGGTACTAGCCTTTGTGATACTATTGTCCCCCACCAGACGTGCCACCAGCCTGGAGCTTCCCATGGCCATGCGCTTTCGCCACCTCAAAAAGACATCCAAAGAGGCTGTAGGTGTCTACAGGTTAGTGGGGTTGGGGGGAGGATGCCCCTTGGGAGGATGACAGATGTCCTGGTGTGGGGCTGCCCTGGTTTTATTCCCCTGCCCCCTGAGCTCCCCTTGCCCATCCTACCCTGCAGGTCTGCCATCCATGGGCGGGGCCTGTTCTGTAAGCGCAACATCGATGCTGGCGAGATGGTCATCGAGTACTCTGGTATTGTCATTCGCTCCGTGCTGACTGACAAGCGGGAGAAGTTCTACGATGGGAAGGTGGGCTCTGCCAGGTCATGAGATGGGAGAAGCAGGGCCTACTCTGGGAACAGAGCATCTAACTGCCCCTTCCTTGTCCCTGTAGGGTATTGGGTGCTACATGTTCCGCATGGATGACTTTGACGTGGTAGATGCCACAATGCATGGCAATGCCGCCCGCTTCATCAACCACTCCTGTGAGCCCAACTGCTTCTCTCGAGTCATCCACGTGGAGGGCCAGAAGCACATCGTCATCTTTGCCCTGCGCCGCATCCTGCGTGGTGAGGAGCTCACCTATGACTACAAGTTCCCCATTGAGGATGCCAGCAACAAGCTGCCCTGCAACTGTGGCGCCAAGCGCTGCCGTCGGTTCCTTAACTGAAGCTGTGGTTGCCCACATCTCCCGCTGCCATCTTGCCCCTGGTCTGGGGGCTCCCTAGTTCCCCCAGAGCATCTCACCCCCACCCTCATGTCCAGGGTGAATGTGGGCATGCAGGTGGCAAGGGCCCTGCCCCTACCCCTCCAGCCCACTCAGCAATTGCCCCCTTCTTGCCCTGGGGGCCCAGAATGTAGATATTGTACAAAGGTTTCTAAATCCCTTCTTTTCTATGCACTTTTTTATTTAAGAGGTGGGATCCCAGGTGGGAACCTCCCCAATAAAGTCTGTCAATGTTTGGAGAGGTGGTCTTACAGTTTATATGGTGCTGGAGGCATGTAGGAGCTCCCATTTCTCCATGCCCCACAGCTATTCTGAACCAAAGAAGCCCATCAGCCTCAACAGGCAGGTGAGAGGCCACTGTTCAGAATTAGAAGTACATTGTGGGGTCTGTCAAGGCTTCAGAGCAACAAATGTTTTATATACTGTAAGTTAGAACCCAGCTGGATGCCTGTGGCTCCCTCTTGGGTAGTGGGAGTTTTCCTCAAGAGGGGAACCTGACTGCCCAGAAGCACTGAGACAAGCTCTCCCACACCTGGTCTTCTGTGATAGAATGGGCCCTATTCTGGGTGGGGGATGAGAATGTCTGCTGGGTCTTGGCCCGATTAAGACTATTTCAAGAGGACAGGACACAGCAGGCACTTAATTTCAAGGGAAACTTTATTGAGTACTAGGCCAGGCGAGCTCCAGATCAGGCAAGTTTAGACAGCACCTGCAGGGCATCTGCCCGCCCTAGCTGGGCCAGGTGTGTGCCAAGCTGGCCCAGAGAAGCAGAGGGCTCCCTTGCCACCACCATCTCAATGAGGGCACGCAGAGGCGAGTGGCTGGGTCGCAGTGAGTAGGCAAAGGTGGACCAGGAAGCAGGCAGTCCATATTTTGCAGCCAGGTGTCGAGTAGTACCACAGGCCAAAGCCCCACCTGGCCCAGGCTCAGGGTCCAGCAGCACAATCAGCTCCTCCAGCACCTCCAACTCATCCAGAAGGCGAGACAGGGGCTGTGATGCCAGATTTGGCAGCTCTGGGAAACAGAGGGAGGGATGAGGGGGAGGAAGGTTGGGCTTCCAGTCCATATTCCCCTCAGCATGTCTGGGACTAACCCCCCTGCCAGGAGTGGGAGCAGAGAAACCCATGAGTCACCTGCTTCCGATGTCACCAGAGAGCCTCCAGAGGTGTTGGAGCCAGGATAGGGGAGGTAGGGACTGTGCCTTTTCCGGGCGAACAGGAGGATGGCTGCTGAGGTCACGAGCAAAACCAGCACCAGGGGCAGGGCAAAAGTCAGCAAGGCCTGCCAAGGGATGGTGTGTTCAGTTGTTCGAGGGGGGCTGGAAATGGCTGGTGAGCTGGTCTCCTGTGAGCTTAGGACGCTGAGTGTTTCAGGCTTCAGGGGACAGGGCTCCTTGGTAGGGGCAGGCTTCTGAGAATAGGAGTAGAGCTGAAGGCAAACCCCACTCCTGCCCCCTCAGCCCAAATTTTTCATCCTTACAAGCCACGTTCTCGCCTGATCCAGATGTTCCCCCCCCACACTACTTTAACCCTAGCTGGTCACCCCCAGATACAAATGTCCCCACCCCTATCCTCTTCAGTGGGGCTAGCCACACCACCACCTCTATCCAGACCCTGCCCACCCAATCCCAATCCCAAACCATGCCCTCTACACCCCACCCCACTTCTGGCAGGCTACACCTTTGCCCATGCAGTCTGAGCCAGACCAGCACCTCTCCACAGCGCTGCCGGCTTCCCTCGGGAGTAGGAGCCCTGGTTCCGCTGCCACAGAAGCTACATAGCTCTGCGAGATCCGGATTGCACTGCCCACGAGGACACTCTTGGAAGGGGTGCATTACATGATCACCAAAGTCATTGAGCCCGCAGTTTTCTGAAAACTCATAGTCTAGTGGGAGACAAGGCTTGTAAGTGGCTTCCAAGCCCCACCTCTAAAAGGACCTTTCCCTTTTGTCCTATCCTAGCGGGCCTCACCCCTTGGACTTTATCCACCCATCAGCAGACATGCTCACCCCTCCATTCTCCCTTCCCCACACTAGCCCTGCTAGTCTCAAAAGGCTCCACAGGCTCCTTACCCTTCATGCCCCTCCTGCTTCCACACCAAGCTCTGCCCATGCTGGGATTGATCTGTATAGCTCATCCCTTTCTGCCTGGATCCTGCTTCCAACCTTTCTCACAGGCTTAGCCCCCATACCTGCCTTACTGATTAAAGCCCACTGCCCCTACCTAGAAGCAAGCCCCCAAACCTTGTTCCTTCACGGGATCTCTATCACCCCCTCAATCAGCCCGAACATATGCATAGGTAGATAATAGGTATACGCCCAGTCTCAGCTCCTCACCGGGGCACGGGGGAGGCCCAAAGCGCTGTAGGCAGCTGCCACAGCACAGGTTGTCAGGGTTCCAGTACTCAAGGCGGTTGCAGTGTTGTGAGGCTTCATGTGGCACCGCTTGGGCCAGGAACAGCGCAGCAGACAAGAGGTGCTGGGGCCTCATCCCAGCGGTGCGTGCAGCCTGGGGGCCCGAGACTGTAGGACTTCCGGCCACAGCGCCTTTGCCAATTTCCCAGGAAACCAGGGAGAAGGAAACAGTGAATGTGGGGACATAGGACGGGAACCTACCTACATCCAGCTCCCAGTCCTCAGTCCAGCTCCTGACCCATTATCAGAAACCACAAGGCCTCAAGATTGCTAGAGCAGGGGCTCTGAAGCCAGTCTGTGGATTCATATCCCATATCTGCCATGTTCCATCTGTATAGTAGGCTAATACCACCTGTCTCATAGGGGTATTGTGGAAAACTAAAACTTACTAGAGTCAACTATAATTGAAAAATAAAAAGCGATTTTAAAAAAAAACCCTTATTAGAAGTAAAGCTCTTAGGGCAGCACCTGGTATATGGTAAGCTTAAGTATTAGGTATTACTGACTCCCATTTCAGGGAATCAGGGATGGAGGACCCAGCCCTCATTTACTGAAGACTCCAACTCAACTCCAAGTGACCTTACCTTAGATCCTAACCCCAAACTCCTCTGGGTTGTGAATCCTCCAATCTGCCACAACTAGGCGTCTTCCCTTTGAAAAGCCTCAGATGAATATGAAGTTTCCAGCACGAAGGCGCTCCACCAGTCCCACTTGAGGGTTTCTAGGGCGTTGAGCCCTGAGTCCAATAATTTTCCACCTGTTTGAAGTTCTTCAACTGCAGTTGTGGCTAGAGCCCAACCTACTTCCCCTTTTCATCGGATGTGGGGGTGGAAGGAAACTCCAGCCCGCAGCTAGACTCAGACTCAAAATACAGAACTTTATTCGGGGAGGGGTGGCAGACTAGGGGCTGGGGAAGATGGCCCTGGGGAGTTAAGGGAGCTTTGAGGAGGGGTCCTGGCCAGGAACATATCTACCTGTTAGGGGTGGAGGGCAAGAGGGTCAAGATCTTAGAAGTGACCCTGCTGGTGGCCTGGGGAATGTCATCAGTTTCTTTCTTTGTGACAGTGGCAGGTATGGGACCTTGGGGGTGACCTGGGGACAGCAGTGGGGAGAAGGGTTAGAGGCATGGGGCAGAGCAGGCGATGAAGTAACTAGAGTTCCTGGGGGTGGTCTAGGACAGGTGCTCAGGAGCTGGTCTCAGGATTAGAGATCCAAGCTGGTCTTCAGTTTGGGATTCAGAATGGTTTGGGGGTTGGGACTTAGGTGCTGGTCTTGGAATGGGCTCAGTACTAGTCCTAGGATACCAAAGGCTTGAGATATTGTTATTGAGACATAGAATCAGGTTCATCTCAGGTTATAGGAGCTCTAGAGTTTGAGAAGTCTTGGCAGGCTGGTCCTGAGATACCTGAGCCTGGGTTCCAACCAATAGAACTGCTGCCAGAAGTTCCGGGTGGTGGGTCACGGGTGCATGAAGTTGCAAAAGCTACCACGAGTACATTCTCTGGGTTGAGGATGGATGGGTGGAAGAGGACACTGTCATTGACAGCCCCACCAATACACACACAGGAGTCTGGAACTCCAGGTGCCCATCCCACCCCTGTACTGCCATACCCCATCTCATAGTGACGACAGCATGACTCCCGGAAGTCGGTGACAGGAGACAGATCAGCATGCAGAGCCTGCCCACTGAACCAGCGGTTACCGAGTTCAGCTACTGCCAGCTCAGCATCCTCTTCGTGCCGGAAGTAGGTCAAGTTTGGTAGTCAAACTCAGAAACCTTCAGGGGATTTGTAAGCAGCTCTGGGGCTGGACTGGATTTAGTGATAGACCTCAAACTATGAGGCTTAAGTGGTGACCTTTAAGCACTGAAATGCCTCCACCTCTGGTCTCCAATGGGGGGAAAGCAGGCACATTGACACATAGACATTGCCCACGAGGTGGTCCCCCAAGTTGTCACACACATTCATCTCTTCAATCTCCCCGTACTTCTCCTGCAGTTCCATGATCACCTCCTGTGGAGACCAGGAGGTGTTCAGCTGAACTCCTGGCCCACAACTCAACCCATCTCTGCCAATCCTCACCTCAAATACGTTATCATAGTGTTCTTGTACCTCTACCTCACGCACGTGACCTGGAGGGGATAGGGTGGAATCAGGAAGTGGCCTGCAGAGGGCAGTCCGTCCTGCCCCCAAGAAATGGTCCCTCCAGTGCGATCCGTCTGAGGTTTGGGGAGTGTTCTGTGGATTCCGATACAGGTTGAGCAGCACTATTGTCTGAATAGAATTAAGAGGAGCAGGGTCCTGAGCAGAGAGAGCAGGGCTATGTGCAAAGATGTTGGGAAGAAGCCTAAGCATCTTGAATGCATCAGCGATGCATGTCCCTAAGGAAACCAGCAGAGGGAGGACCTAGAAGTGAGAGACAACCGAGGGGTGTAGGTTGAGGGAGGAAGGTCCAACAAGAAAAAAGCCGGGCAGCAGGGTGGGCCTAAGATATCCGGAAAAGGCGGGACCTCGGGATAATGGACAACAGAAGGGGAACAGCCGGGAGGCTTTAACCCTCCAGGCTCCGTGCCAAGTCTCACCAGCCTGAAAGTTTGTTTCGGGAAGCCGGGAGTATTGGTCCCCATGCCGGAAGGCCCCGATCCTAAAGTAAAAGGAGCAGTTAACCCTGGAAGGGGTGCAAAGACAGAGGTGAGCTGAGGGCTGGATACCCCAGAAATACTGTCCCACGCCGCCCAGCAACCCCGATAGGATATTGCCTGCGCCAGTTTCCACTTGTCCTCAGTCCCGAATATTGAAGAATTCAGCCATTTTTACCCGAACTCTCCAACTCGATTGGCTCGAAGTCACTTCCGTTGCTTCAGAACATTGGGAAATGTAGTTCTTCGCTGCTTCGTCTTGCGTAGCACGCTCAGAAACTCCCTAATGCGCTTGCGTGTTGGAAGCCTGCGCCCTCTCCACAGAAACACCGACAGAAATTCCCTGAGAGCGCATGCGTGCAGCGCTGCCTATAAAAAAAGACTACAAACGCCAGAGATCCTTGCGGCATCACACGCAAACGTCCGTAAGTTGAAAGTGGCAAAGGCATCTATCCGGAGGAAGTAAACTCCACTGGTGAGATGGGGGTCGTTTCACGCACCCCAGTAAACATCAAGAGCGTCTCAACCCAATCAACTTGCTGGTGGGGGCGGGGGCGCCCTACTTTCAGCAAACCCACCCTTGAATTTATCTTTGTTTTGTCGTAAAAGGGGCGTGGATTTTCGCGATCCTTGCAGCTCTGTCTTGCCCCTCAGACCCACGGAACGACCTAGCCCTAGCGCCACTATGAATTTGGAGCGGGTGTCCAACGAAGAGAAGTTGAACCTGTGCCGCAAGTACTACCTGGGTAAGGGCCAGTCTCCTAGGGTCCCAGGAGAAGAGAGGGGACGGAATAAGGTCTGTAGGGCCGGATGCTTGGGGGATGAAGCGGCTGGGAGCGCGAGCTCTGAGGGAAGGAACTGGATCCTGAGGAGGGAGAGGCTGGGCCTCAAGAGCTTATTGGTCCCAAGAGGGGAGTTGGGGGCTGGACTACTGGATCCTGACAAAGAGATGGCTGAGGAATCAAATTCTGGATCCCAGGGAGAAGCCTTGATATCAGAGTCCTTAATAGCAGAGATCTCAATTGAACTTGGGTGTGGGAGAAGGACTTTCCAAATAAGTCATCTAAGTGGGCGTTGGGGAGGATACTCATTGTCTTATATCCTAGTTTGGCTTTTTTCTCTATAGGTGGGTTTGCTTTCCTGCCTTTTCTCTGGTTGGTCAACATCTTCTGGTTCTTCCGAGAGGCCTTCCTTGTCCCTGCATACACAGAGCAGAGCCAAATCAAAGGCTGTGAGTCCAGGGTACAGTTGAAAGAAGGCCATTGGGGAGGTGGGGAGGTGGAGCTCTGGTGGGATGGGATGAAAGAAGTTCCAGATGTCGAGGGCTCCGTGGAAGAAAAGAGAGAACTTGTCTGGAGGTGACCAGAGAGCAGGTGGAAGCCAACCTTACCCACTCCTGTTGCCTTTTACAGATGTCTGGCGCTCTGCTGTGGGCTTCCTTTTTTGGGTGATTATACTCACCACCTGGATCACCATCTTCCAGATCTACCGGCCCCGTTGGGGCGCCCTTGGGGACTACCTCTCCTTCACCATACCTCTGGGTACACCCTGACAAATTCTTCAGCACAGGCCTGGGACCTGATCATTCTCCCAGGATGGGCTCCTGTACTCCCAGCCCACTTTCAAGCCCCTAATACTTATTCCTATCTCCTGTGTTCTCTGTTGACATACTCCAATAAATGTCCCTGAGTCTCTATGTTGACTTCCTGGGATCTTTTGAACATTGAAACAGAAAATGATTATTATTCAGAAACGTTCATTAAATGCTTACTTTGTTCCAGGGTTAGTGCTTCACACATTATGTGCATCTTTTCATTGACTACTACTCATAACCCTCTGAAATAGGAACTATCCTGCTCCAGAAACCTATTTTACAGATGCAGAACCAAGAAGGGAATATTCTATTACTAGTGGCTGCTATCCTGTACTGGTATTATGTGAGTTTGAAAACATTACTTTTCCTTTTGGCCTAAGTATTCTCATCTAAAGTGTGGACCACAATGCTACCTCTTGGAATTAATCTGGGTCAAGGCTTATGTAGTAAAATGAAGTTCTCCATTTTCTGAAGGAGATGTCTGGCTTATTAGAGAAAGCTTCCTTAACCAACCTATTTAAAATTTCAGTGTTTTACTTGTTTATTGTGTGCCCCCATCCTCAAAATATAAGCTCTATTAGGACAGATATTTTTGTTTGTTTTGTACTCTGCTGTCCCCAGTGCCTAGAAGAGTCACTCACGCAGTAATAATATTTGAATAAAGTGAATGCTAAGTGAATAAAGTTGTCCTGAGAAGAGATTAATAGGTAGCTGGCACTAGTGAGTACTCAGAGGGAAAAATCCTAACTCCAGACTGTCTTCCAATTAAGGGCAAGAAGGACACGGTTAAATAATTACTGTTAATACCTAAATGGCTTTTATTAAAAGCTGCTAACACTATAAGTTCCAAAAAACCTCGCGATGCCCTGGTCCTTTATCTCCCACCGTGCCTTGCGCGGCGCAGGCGCTGTTACTTACGGCTGAGTCTCGGGAGCCAGAACTACACCTCCCAGAAAGCGTGCCGGGATGTCGTTGGTTTGTTTCCGGAAATGGGTCCCTAGCAAGGTGGGACTTAGGGCTGAGAGCTGTCAATTGGTCAAGGTACGAGATCGACGGTTATACTGACTAATGGGAACAAGCGACTGCCGATGGGGCCCCACCAAAGAGGAGCAAGAGGTGCTGGCGGCGGCGGCGGCAGATGTAGACCGACGCTGCTCAGGGCAGAAGACCTTCCGCGTACGAAGCTTATCTTTGACGGTCTCCGTCTGCTTCTGCCCTTGACTTGTGACGCTAGGCCCTTTTGGGCTCCTCTGACCCAACTAGCCAGACTCCAGACCCAAACCATGTTCCCGGTGAAGGTGAAAGTGGAGAAATCAGGTGAGGTTTCGAGGTCGGGGGCCTGTAGAGGAGCACGGGACTGACCTGGGTATGCGAGTCCCGATAGTCAGGGTTATCGCGATAAGGTAGACTGAGACTTCTCCCTGCAGCCCTTCTGCCTATCGCTGTCAGGCATTGAGCGATTCCTGCCGCCTGCATACCTTACCAGTCTGCTCGAGATTGCTTTGAGATTGAGTGGTGGTGGCTCAGGCAGTGTGGTGCCGCAAGGCCTGGGGATTCCCAGCCCCGTGACCCCGAGAAAGACTACTTGGCTGTGTCTCAGTTTTTCCATTTCCAGCAATAGTTATGAATCAAGCATTGCACTGAGTGCCTGAAGTACAAGGAGGTTTTTAATCCTTGAAGTCACTGTATCCCAGTAATCCTAGAAGTCAGAAATGTGGTAGATGGGAAAACAAGCTGAGAGAGAAGAATTCATTTTGGGTTGGGACCGAGTTTATGGGAACCCAGGACTGGTAGGTTAAGGGCGGTGGGAGAGGCACAGAATCCAAAGTATACTAGTAAAATGATGTACGATGTTAGATGGCATACGTGGAATAAAATGAAACAGGAGAGCAAACGTGAGATCAGGAGTGAGGTAAGGTGAGGGAGAGAGCCATGAGGATATGTGAGCCAACAGCGAATAAGACGAAGGAAGCAGCTTTGAGAAAGCCTTGTCTGGCCTGTTCGAGGATCAGCCGGGAGGCCAGTGTGGTTGGAACAGACTGAGGAGATGGAGGCAAAGTGGGGAGGAGAGAGGAACCAATCTGTGAACCCAGGTTAGGACTTAGGTTTTGCTGTGAGGGAAATGGGGAACCAAGGGAGGGTTTTGAATTGAGGAGTGAGTTCATAAAGATGCCTTTCAAATGTCAAAAAAATTGTGAATGGAAAAAGTGTAGGGGGCCTGACCACAATGATGATGTGGGCACTACAGAGTTGTGCAGGGTTCTAAGGGGGAGTATCGGGGTCAGGATTGATTTTTAGGAAGATCTCCCTGGCCACCCTGTGGAGGGTGGATCAGAAGGGGAGACTGAGGTTGGGAACCCAAGGGAAGGAACGAAAAGGACCAGCGTGGGCAGGGTAGGGTTGGGATAGGTGGTAGAAAAGGAGGCCAAGTGGACAAGAGTTGGTGGTCTGGGATGGAGGAGAGAGAGAGGTGTCCATGTTGAGGCCCAGGGAGGGATTGGGGGACAGCAGAGCTATCCTTGAGATGGGGGCCCAGGAAAGAGGGTAAGTTTAGAGAAACACTGAGGCCAGTGATAATGTGGGAGCCAATAGGTAGAAGAACCAGGGGGAGGTGTCCAGGAGTCCATGGGATCCCAAGATCTGAGGTTCAGGAGAGAAGTGGGGGCTAGGGAAAGAGATGTGGGCATGATCCATACCTTGTCTCCTCAACAAGGCTTTTTGCTAGAATCTCAGCTGCCCCAATCCACACCCCTACCCTGTCTCTGAGTGATGTCAGGAATCCGTGCATCTTCTGGTCTCCTCAGGAAGTCCCAGGGCTGGCCAAAGCATATCCCCAAGTGTCCTTCCAGGCTCTGAGCACTGTGCCAAAGCACCTACTAGCTGGAAGAGGAGAGCAAACACCTCACAGGGTGAGAAGAGAATATTTATAATATCATTACCTCCTTAAGTTCTATGATGAACAGAGGCAAAGACACAGGCTGCAGGGCCAGGCAGGGCCTGTGATATGCAGGAAGTGGGCCCAGATCTCATTTCCTGTGTGTGTGTGTTGGGGGGGGGGGGGTGGTGGTGCAAAAATGGGTCTCTTGGGTGAAATCTCCCAATTAAATATGAGTTCATTCAGATTTAATTCAGATTTAATATAACTCCACTGCCTATCCAAACAAAGCTTATCTTGGCACTAGATACCGCACCCCGTTTGAGTCCCTGCCATATAATTTCAGCTGTGGAGCCAGATGGCCTGCATGCAAATCCTTATTCCCTAGCTGTGTGACTTTGGGCAACTACCTAACATCTATGTGCCTCAGTTTCATGATCTGTAAAGTGGGTAAAAATCATATGTACCTACCAGGGTTATTGTGAGAATTCAGTGGGTTAATATGTGTGATATGCTTGAAACAATGCTTGACACATAAAAAGTACTCTGTACATATTACTTATTATTGCATTCTGCTAAGAGATTCATATACAACATAAGTCAATTTAAGTCTGAGAACAGTCCTAACAAATAGGTATCATTTGGAGACCTATTTTCAAGAGGAAACAGACTCAGTGAGGTAAGATGACTTGTCTTAGGTGGGACAGCCCAGGAACCCAGAGCTCTTACTCATCATTTCAGTAGCCTGCCCTCACACCCTCTCAGCACACCTGAGCCTTGCCATAGGTTTGACTGTGCATGCCCTTCCCCAGCCCAGTTGGCTTCCCACCTGCCTTGAGCCTGGGAACTGACTCTTGCTTGGTACCCTCTTCCCCAGAGTTGGAGATGGCCAAGGCCCGGAACCAACTGGACGCCGTTCTGCAGTGTCTGCTGGAGAAGAGCCACATGGACAGGTTGGGACCTGGGCCAGCCTGAGGTCAGAGGGGGTTGGGCCCTCTAGTCCTGGGTGGGTCTAGGTGGGACCCCAGAACCTGGCTTAGGAAGGGGCCCAATGGAGAGGCCACTCATTGCCTTACCACTCGGCCCTTGGAACCCTGAGTCCACAGTTATCTTCTGCTACCAGGGAGCGTCTGGATGAGGAAGCCAGGAAGACCCCCTCAGACACCCACAGCAAGTAAGTTTTACTGGTGGGATCTGTATCTGAGGGTTTGTGGTGAATTACTTCCCTCACCCAAGCCCTGACCACTCTGTCCCCTGCTTCCTCCACCACAGTTTGAACCACTCTATGTGCACAAAGACCCTGGGGCAGCAGAAGCTTAGGTCCCGTCGTACTTGGCAGCTAGAGCCCCAGGGGCTTGGGTGGGACACAACGCCTACAGAGTTAGTGGGGTACATGTGGGCATCTCAGGCTTGATCTCAGGATCCATAGGGTGTCTTTTGGGAGATTTTGAGCAGGCATTTGTTCAAGGGTGAGCCTGCTCATGCCCTGTCTCTTCCCACAGGGATTGCTCCATTGTGGCCACTGGCAAACGGTAAGGTGGCGGGGGTTTCAACCAAGTAAAAAGAAGTCCCCAGCGCTGGTCCTGATGTTCTCTCAACTCACGCAGGCCATCTGCCCGCTTCCCCCACCAGCGGAGGAAGAAGAGAAGGGAGATGGATGATGGGCTGGCCGAAGGAGGGCCACAACGATCTAGTGAGTAGGTGGTAGCCCTAGAGGGCGGTCAGTGATAGGGGACTATATAAGCATGTTCACATACCTCCCACTCCCACTTTCCTAGACACGTATGTGATTAAGCTGTTTGACCGGAGTGTGGACTTAGCTCAGTTCAGTGAGAACACACCGCTGTACCCAATCTGCCGTGCCTGGATGCGCAACAGCCCCACAGTGCGTGAGCACGAACGCTCACCCAGCTCACCGTTGCCCCCACTGCCCGAGGATGAGGAGGTAGGATGGGTGGTAGGCCCCTGCCCAACAGCCAGGGAGGGAGTGGGAAAAATTGTGGGGAATCAAAATCTAAGAAAGTGGCTACAGAGAATAAGGGGTAGAGACTGGAAGGTGGATTGCCTGTGATTAGAGACTTAAGGGTCAAGACAAAGTGACTGGGGTGTCCTTGGTGAAGTTGGAGGAGGGTTAGGACATTCTGCAGAGCCTGGGGAAATGAGCAGGATATCTACATTTTGAGGGTTCTGGTTGGTCTAGGACCAAGGTACCCTCCTCACAAGCTATTTGGGATAGACAGGCAGTTTTCTGTGTCCCTTAAATGTCTCCTGGATCCATTGAGGCACACAGATATGAACCCTTATACTAGGAGTATGGATGGAGCTCTCCAGAGCAGACACACATGGCTACCTGTACTGAGAGAAAGAGGGGACAGGGTTCACCTGGGCAGATATGTGTGACCTCTAAGATTGGGATCCCCAAGAGCTGGGGGGCTGGAAAGGGGTCCTTAGTGTAAACAGGTATAGCCACCTGATCTAAAGGAGCAGATGGGGATGCCCTAGGGCCGTGGTTGGCAAACTGCGGCTCGCGAGCCACATGCGGCTCTTTGGCCCCTTGAGTGTGACTCTTCCGCAAAATACCACGTGCGGGTGCGCGTACAGTGCGATTGAAACTTCATGGCTCATGCGCAGAAGTCGGTTTTCGGCTTGGGTGAGTCTATTTTGAAGAAGTACTGTTGATATTTGGCTCTGTTGACTAATGAGTTTGCTGACCACTGCCCTAGGGTATGCAAGCATAGATGGAAATCTCTCGACTGGTCAGGTAAGATCCCCATTCTTCAGACATGACTCCCAAGTACAGGTCCCAGAGGAGACCTTCATGTTTGTTGTCACTGGAAAAGGAAGGAGGGGTAAAATGTGTACCCCTGGCCCTCATCTCTGACTCTTGGATCTGTTATGGGGCTCCTGTGTCTCCAGGGTTCAGAGGTCACCACCAGCAAGAGTCGTGATGTGTACAAGTTGCCTCCTCCCACAGCCCCTGGGCCCCCTGGAGATGCCTGCAGATCCCGAATTCCATCCCCACTGCAGCCTGAGACACAGGGTACCCCTGAGGATGAGGTGGGTCTGCAAAGTTTGCCTGGGGCTATGGGACCTATGTTGTGGGGCTTGGGCATGGCCACCGAACCTGGCTTCTCTGTTCACACAGCCCTCTGAGCCCTCACCCTCACCTTCCACACTCATCTACCGCAACATGCAGCGCTGGAAACGCATCCGCCAGAGGTAAGCATCCCCAACCTGCTTGCTCCTCTATGGCTTCTGCCCCAACTGCTGAGCCCTCCCTCTGCTTTCCCTCGCCCACTGTAGGTGGAAGGAGGCATCTCATCGGAACCAGCTTCGTTACTCAGAAAGCATGAAGATCCTACGGGAGATGTATGAGCGACAGTGATGTTCCCCTGACCTCAATAAACATTTCCCCTCTTTACACTGGCCTCTGATTGCTCCAGCCTATCCTTCCAGGCCCAGACATAAAGCAGATGGCACAACTCTAGCACATTTATTGAGGAGTGAGGGGATAGGACAGCAGGGAATTTAGGGAGGGAGAAAAAATGTGGGGAATCAAAATCTAAGAAAGTGGCTGCAGGCTGGGTCTTGGAGAATAAGGGGTAGAGACTGGAAGGTGGATTGCCTGTGATTAGAGACTTAAGGGTCAAGACAAAGTGACTGGGGTGCCCTTGGTGAAGTTGGAGGAGGGTTAGGACATTCTGTAGAGCCTGGGAAATGAGCAGGATATCTACATTTTTGAGGGTCCTGGTTGGTCTAGAATGGGTTTTCCAAGGGCGGGGGTCTGAAAAGGGATTCAAGAGTCTGAAGGTGGCTGGCTGAGGTTTTATGTCAGAAGATGGGAAGAGGGGTGGGGGTGGACTGTCTGGTTAGAATGAGTGGAAGACCAGGCTTGGGTGATCTGGTGTGGGAAGTCTGCAGAGTCTGGGGCTTTGTGGGATAGGGGGGTGAGGGTGTGGGGGAGGGTTGTGCTTAATTGGCCTATGGTGGGAACAGGGCTGTCTATATCATAGTCAGGTATCAGAGTGATTATTTTCATAATGAGAAGGAAATAGGTTTTGAGTGGCTTTACAAGCCAAGAAATGGGTTAGTGGGGATGGGCTTGTAGGGTCTGGAAGCTAGGAAGGTGTTGGGGTTTGAAAACGAGGGTGTATGAGAGATCAGGGCTGAGTCTAGGTTGGAAGGGTCCGGGCTGGACCCCAGATGGGGTGTAGGGGTGGTGGTCTTGGCGAGCTCGGTACATCTGGCTGGGCGGAGTCAGGTCGGCTTTAAAACAGGTGGCCTGCGGCGGTCCCCAGGCTTCAGGTGTGCCCAGACCCCAACTTGGCAGCAGCCTGTGGTTGCGGCAGTGGGGCCTGGGCCAGCACGGGCGCGGCCTGGATGGACAGAACGCCCTCAGGGGACAACGCTGATGTCACGGCGGCAGGGTCCACACCAGGCGGCAAACGGTAGCGGCGGTGGAACTCTCGAGCCACGTATCCGTGCTCATCCTGGAAACGGAGAGGCTTGAGAGGCCCACCCTTCCCTATGGCTGCCCCGCTCCCCTAGGCCTGCCCACCAGCGGGCTCACCGGGCGCTCCTCATGGCGAGCGTGCACCTCCACATGTTCACCAACCACCTTGACAGTGATTTCCTCTGGGGAGAAGTGCTTCACATCCAGCAGCACCGAGAAATGCCCGGGGTCGGCGGGCACCTGTGCACAGCCCATTGTCATCGGCTCAGCAGGGCTCCCAGGACCCAAGCCAGGCCTCTCCCTCCGGGGTTCTAGCGCAGCTGACTCTGGCCTCTGAAACTGGGAGTCCCCTTTCCAACCTGTAGCCGTGGATGGCCGCCTCATCCCGAATAACTGGTCTCATCCTCCTCTCACCCAGAGGGAAGAGGCCCCCTTTCCCTGCCAGTCAGAGACCTCAGGCCTCACAGAGTGAGTCCCCTTCCACCCCCGTGTCGGCGACCCCACAGTCGATGTGTCCTCCTGGACGCTGACTCCGAGGGCCCTTTCCTCTCAGAGCCCCCGGGGCCCTCGCTGCCACACCCACACGGGACCCCTTGCCCCTCAGCCGTTACTAGTCCTCCTCCCTTCTCAGAATGGTCAGCCCTCCCCACTCTCCAGTCACAAGACCCTCCCCTCTGCCTCTCCGGGGACATAGGGTCACTTCATATCATCTACAAACTCTTCCCCGAGAATAACACAACGTCACTGGGCGCCCCTACGCCCTTCAGAATGATTGGCCTCCCACCCCCACCCCAGATTCCCTGGGTCACTAGCCTCCTTCAAAGTCACCAAGATTCCCCCCTCAGCATGACCACCTCACCCTATCAGTGCCCTTAGAACTGAGATTCTCCTCAGATGGACCGGGACCTCCGACCCCTCCATTAATCTGGCCTCTAAAATTCCGTACTTGGGGAACCCCGGAAGCCCCTCTGAGTGGCCGAGTTCTTCGTCCCTCTCAAAGTCAAGGGACATTCCCTCATCCCCCCGAGGATGGCCAGAACCCCTCCCCAGGCCGGCACCTGGGCGGCGGGCAGCGCCACGCTGGGTGCGCGCAGGTAGTAGGGCGCCAGCGTGGTGGGACAGAGTGCAGCGAGCTCAGCCTCCAGGAGCCCCTCGCCGAAGCGCTGGTCGAAGAGGCGCCCAGGCGCACCGGGATCCATCCTGCTCCTCCTGCGCGGTGGTGCCCCTGGTGCGCCCCGCAGCTTTATAGGACGCCCTGTGTCCGTCCTCCGCGGGCCGCCCGGGGACACTCGGATTGCGGCCAGACCCAGCCACTAACAGAGCCTTATTTAGAAAGCCAACAATGACTTGGCCATTTATTAAGCTCCTGCTGGATGCCAGAGAGGTATCAAGATTCTCCAGTTTCCCCGAAGGGAAACTAAGGCTGAGGAGGCGGAGCCTTGCCGGAATTTGGGACCCAGGGCTTGAGAAGCCCTCTGCAGAGCTCCCAGTCCCTTTACTCCACCCCCGCCCCGCAGGCAGCTCTGGGGATGACGCAGATGGCAGTCTTATGAGCAGAGTCGTGGGTACAGAGAATGCGGTGGACCAGCCAAACTGTCAGAAGGACACAGGACAGACTCTATTTCCATCAGCCCAGTCCCGGGCAAACCGGGCCTAATTCTGTGCCTCTGACTCAGTCTCGGATGCAGAGTAGCGGGGTCTGCCAGGTGAGCAGCAGCCAGGGACCGTGGACAAGAGTCCAGGCTGGCCCCCGGGGGGGCGCGCGCCTGGCCCGAAATAGCTTGTTTTGATCCCGCCACCTGGCCAGGAGCCCAGGCCTGGCACTTGGCGCAACCAGCTGCTCCTGCAGCAAGATGGAAGCAGGTGACCGGGCGGGACGGTCCTGCGGGTCCGACTGATGGAGGGATGTCCGTTAGAGACGGGACAGTCTTCCTGATTGCCCCTACAACGGGAAAAACGGTTGTTGGAGTAGTCTGGACGAGATTCCCGCCGCAAGAAGGTTGTAAGACCAGACTGCAGGGAAGCGCGGGTACTTTAGAACCCCTCCTAACCTTGAACACAGTTTTATATTCTCTCCATTGGTCCATAGGCTTGCCAATCACTGCTGCACGTTATGGCTCTCCAATCACACACGCTCTCTCAGTCACCCGCCTTTGGCCGCTTTCCAATTACTGTTCATCATTGGTTGCCTTGGAGCGGCTGTAGTCCCGCGAGGGCACCCGGAGGGGGCGGGCTGATAGGGCATTGCTAAGCGACCGAGAGGCGCTGGGTCGGTCGGTGAAGGGGAGTTCCGTGAAGCGCGGAAGTAGCCACCGGATGAACCGCAGGTGAGGCCATCCCTCTTCCGGGAACCGCAGGATGCCCGGGGACGACCAGGGTGAGAGAAGCACAGCCTGGGGTCCGGAGTCTCTCCTCAGTCGCAGGGAACTAAAACCCGCAAACTGTTCCACAGCTTTGGCTGCTCCAGTCTTGGACTTCACCTTCCCCGGGGGTCCCATAGTGTCTTGCGTTCCGCTGTTAGTGACCCCAAGATGGTTTTTTTCCTTCTTCTAAGAGTGTCCAGGGGCGTCTTGGGAATCAAGTTTCTTAATTTTGAAATTGCCCCCAGACTCCCATAGGTGGTGCTTTTGTTTATCTTCCTTGCTTAGGAAGAGCCCATTGACTGATGGGGATTGTAGTGCATCTGCCCCTTAGTGCCCCCAAGACTTATGGGAAATGTACTGCGATAGGGTTTAGCCATGGTTCTTAACCCGAGCACCACTCCAGAATTCTCCGGGGCGCTAGGAAAAAGATACAGATGCCTAACTACTGCTTCCAGATAATTCTTATTCTTTTAGTCTGGAGTGAGGACCACACATCTGTTGTTGCTGTTTTAAAGACAGCTCCTAGGCTGGATCCAGTGTTGAGAGCCACCATTATCAGTTCCTCGGTTCTTCTCTTTTGAGACTGCTCCAAGGGCTGGCGCCTCCAGTATCATTATCTTGAATGTGCAGTGGTGCTTTGTGGGAATTATGGTCCATCTCTTACAGGAATCCATGGGAATTGTAGTCTTTCTGCCCTCCTCTTCCCATCCTCCTGCCCTGATTCCTCCTGGGCTGCAGTGACCATGCTCTGCCTACCAACTTTACTCTCTCCTTGCAGCCTGCCAGTTTTCAACACTCAAGACAGCCCCTTTGGGGATGCTCCCCTGGGTCAAAGCTAGACCTGGCATCCCAAGGTGAGAACACCACACAGAGAGTGCTGTGTGCCAGCCTAGTAGCAAGGGAGCGAAGACCTGTGATAAGAGATGCGGGTGAGAGATTAAACACAGTCCCTCCTCCCCTCCCCCGGCCCTTACTTCATCTAGTCCTCTACCACCATCATAGCCGAATTTACTCTGAGTTGTTACCATCATGAGATGTGTTTCCTCCCCTCTGGACTAAGACTTCATGTGTGTCTTTGTTTCAGGGATATCACTTTTTCTTCTCCCTACCTCCCCTATCTTAGACCCTGAGTCCATCCAGGTCCCAGAGATCCAGGATCCCAGAAACTCCCAAGGCTCTGGCCACAGATCCCAACTCCCTTGAGCTATTTGAGGAGTCCTGGCCATCCAGGTCAGGGACCCCTTCCCCACCCAGCACCACTGAGGAACAGATGGGTGTCTCCTCACCACCCACCCTGATTGACAGTGGTGACTCTGTGGTGGCCAAGTAAGTACCATCAGCCCTGAGGGCAAGAAAGATTGGGGGGTGGGGGGAAGGCACCCTGTTATTACCACAGCCAGTGCTATTTATGTAGCACTTTCAGGACCACACTTCATGTGTGTTAAGAGCTCTGGAGTTAGGCTGCCTGGGTTCAAATCCCAGCTCTGTCACTTACTCTTTGTATGATCTTGGTCTAAGTTTTTTTGTCTGTAAATTGGGGATATGAATAACATATCCCCTAGGGCTGTTTAAGCTTTCAATGAGTTACTTACTGTCTGTAAAGCTTCTATAACAATGCTTGTCACATAGTGAGCACTTGGATTTGTAGGGCACAAGTTCAGCTGTTACAACAAAGAGCCCCAAATTAATTGTGGCTTAAACAAAAATAGTACTTATTTCTCCCTCAACTAACAGTATAGGCAGAAGCAACCAGGGCCAATATAGCAGCCCCTAGTTGAGGTATCAGAGACAGTTTACTTCTATCTCCTCCCCCGCCCCCTCCCCCGCTGCCACTTCTCCCCTCCCCAGACTGTTGCCCTTTCCTTCATGGACCAAAATGGCTCCCAACAACATCCATTATTCAGAATAACATCTCTTCACACCCTGTTAGTCAAGAACCCAGTTACATGGCCATAAAGTTACAAGGGCACCTGCTAAATGGATGTATAGAAGAGTGGGTATGTGTCCACAATATTGTATTACTATATAAGAAAACAGAATGGATATTGAGGGACAACTACCAGGGGCTTCCATAATGCTCACCTGGTAGTTGTCCCTGGTAGTTGTGATTATTACTGTTATTATTAGTTGGCTCTCCTTACCCCACCCTCCTCCCATTCTCTGATGCCCACAGGTTCATAAACCGGTTCCGCCAGGCTCAGCCCACAAGCCGAGAGGAACGCCAGCCTGCAGGCCCAACCCCAGCAGACTTTTGGTGGTTGCGGCCTGAATCTCCAGACCCTAGTAGTCAACTTGCAGCAGGTACTTGCTTCAGTCCCATCCACTCCTGGCCCAAAACCTTTTCTTTCTTTTTTTAAAAATTTATCTTTATTGTTGAAAGTATTACAAATGTCTTTTTTCCCTCCATCGACCCCCTCCACTCAACTCCTGCCCTCTCACCAGGCCTTTCCCTCACTATTGCCTGTCAATGGGCTATGCATATATGCATATAAATTCATTATTTAATCTCTTCCCCCCCACTCCCTTCCCTCTGAAATACGTTAGTCTGTTGCATGTTTCAAGGTCTCTGGATCATTTTTGTTCATCAGTTTATTTTGTTCATTAGATTCCACATGCAAGTGAGATCATGTGGTACTTGTCTTTCTCTGACTGGTTTATTTCGCTTAGCATAGTACTCTCCAGGTCCTTCCATGCTGTTCCAGAATCTTTCTTGTACAGTGCTCTCAGCAGCCACTCCTCCTGGCCCTCCTAAATCAATTGGGGTTTCTCAGCAGGAGCCAATAAACCAGAAGGAAGACTCACCACGGAAGTCCCGACTCTTGCCAAGGTGGCCAGTGCATCACAGGCTAAGGCTATGGCCCCCCTTCAGGAAATAAAGCAGGTGACATCCCCATTTACTCTGCCTATGTTACCTGAACTGACAGCACCAGCCCTGGGATAGAATTAGAGTCAGTCCACAATTCAAGGAAGCATAAACAAACAAACAAAAAAAGGATTGGTTTGCTAATGCAATTAAAAAGTCCAAAAGTAGCTTCTTTCAGGCATGGCTGGATCCCAGTGTTTGAACACTATTGGGAAGAACTTGACTGGTTTGGCTTTCTGTTTTTCTTTTTTGGGCTCAGTCTCAGGCAGGCTTTCCTCTCAAAGTAGCTAAGATGGCCTCAGTAGTTCTAGCCTTTTAACTTATTTAATCCACAGGGAAGAGGAGCCTTTTCCGATAGCTCCATCCAAAGCCCCTGTTGCTCTCATCAGCTCACAATCACTGTGAACCAGAGGACAGAATGTTATGATTAGTCAGGCCTGGTCAGGAAGGCAGGGTCAATACTTCTCCTACAACAGGAATTTCATTGAGGGGTGTGATCCACACAGGGAAACTGGGTCACTCTTCCCTGAAGAGGAAGAGCAGATTCTAAGCCAGCATGTGAGGGTACCAGGTAGAGTGCAGATGTGCACTCCAGGCCCTCTGTCTGAGCAGCCTTTGGAATCTGGGCTGGCCTCTGACCATCTCACCTCACAGAGCCTCAACACATGGAACTCATCTCTGCTGGACCTGGAGATGCTGAGCCTGCAAAGCAGAGCTGCCAGGCTGCTGAAACACAGGTGCTTTCCCTGCCCCCATCATCCTCTCCACTCCTTCAACTCCAGGCCCCCCCCATTGCCTCTGAGACCCCTCTTGCCTTACTTCTGTATTCTTCCTACAGCAAAGTCTCCGTCTCCTCCTCCTGCAGCCCCAGCAATTCCAGCAATTCCTTATTCCCTGTCAGCTCTGATGGTTTTTCTCCTTCCTCTGTGGCCTTCACCCCTGACTCCAGCAAGGGCTCTGACCCCAAGGCACATGGTGAGTTCTGGAGAGCAAGGATTGAGGGCAGCCAGTGTGAGTCCCACAAATGCCACTAATCAGCTATGTGACCTTGGGCCTCTCTGTGCCTTCCTTGTTTCCTCAACTTTAAAACGGGGATAATAATTGTACTCTTCTACTGTGGGTGTGGTGAAGATTAAATTAATTGATGAATATGGAGTACTTAGCACCAGTCAGTTAATAGTAGCTATCATTAGTAGGACAGGTTCTCTCTCTGTATCCTATTTGCCTCTCTAAACACAAAGCTCCAAAATCAGAAGGCTTCTTGCAAATTTGGCGCTATATTTGATTTGACAGCAAAATCTGACCTCAACAATGAGAAGGATATCTATCTATCTATCTATCTATCTATCTATCATTTAGGACAACTTCATACTTTTTGATATGGATATATTACATTGAAACATATGAAATTTTTGCCTTTGTAAGTAAAAAATGGTTAAATATTGCCAATTGCATGTTGTTCAGCCAAGTACCAATGTGTTAGAGTCTGGTGTACTGCATCAGACCCCTGGCTACACTGTATATACCATACAACTTTGCTAAAACATGCAAGATTTCAGAAATGAGATTAAGGACCAGGGTTACTGTTGCTGCCATCATTGTGGTTACTTTTAGTCTGTGCCCAGGTCCTGGGATGCAGTGGAGCACAGGACCAAAAATTAAATTTCTGCTGTGTATGAGGCCCTGAGAGTAGGATTAGATGTTCCACAGTGAACCAACCATAAATACTTTTATCCTCAGGGTTTTCACAGCATAGTGAGTGTAGAATAGAGTAGCTACATAACCCCACAAACAAATGTAAAATGTAGCCAGAAACGAGGGCTATTCAGGAGAGGATTGTGATGCTGAGAAGTCAGAGAAGGCCTTCCTAGAAAAGATGCTATCTAGGTGGAGACCTGAATGATGAAGGTGGGAACAAGCGCCTTCTAACATGTTCAGAGGACCTGAAGCATGGTGCAGACAATGAACTAGAAAAGGCAAGAGCCAGTGGTGAGAGTAGTATGTGATAAGAAGGGACAGATTGGCAGAGGTAGATTACATTGGGCCATGTAGGCTTGGGGAGGCATTTGGTCATTATCTTAGTACCAGGGAGCCACGGGAGGGTTCTGAGGTGGGAGGGTACATGATTTTCCTCGAGTGTTAACAAACTCCCCCCGGCTGCTCTCGGTACCCAGTGAGAGATGCTGGTAGTTTGGCTTGGGCCAGAGTTTGAGGAGCAGAGTAGAGTGGCCAGGTTTGGAAGTAGAATCACAGGGTTCTATCCACACATCTTTTTGGGGGATATACAGAGTTGGGGAGGAGAGAAAGGTCTGAGATGATGCCCCCCTCACCCCCCCGTGTAGCATCAGATGGTCAGGCTTCTGAGAGACAGTGGTAGCTCTACTGATCATTGCTGTTGAAATGATGCTCTGGGTGATGGGAAAATGTTCTTTTGCCGTACTGGACCGAGGACAGCCAGTGGCCCTGTCCTGAGTCACTGTTGTACTGAGCCAGAACAGTGCCTGGCTCAGTAGTAAGAGCTAAATAAACATTTGTTAATGAAGGAAGAATTGAATGATGGCAAGTTGGGAAGTCCATGAGTCCTCTCTCCTCTGACTTTTCCCTTCTTTACTTCCCACTCTAGAGAGGAGTTGGGACATTATCTGGAGAGCATGTCTGAATATTGGTACAGTCGAATGTTGTATGCACTGGCTGTCATCAGGTTGCTCATCCCCAAAACCTCCTGTCTTACCCTTCTTCCCTCTACTTACCCTACAGCAACTCCTGCACCAGCCCCCATCCCTGCTCCAGCCTTGGTCTCCTCCCAGGCACCCCTGCGACCAGAGGATGACATTCTGTACCAGTGGCGACAGCGGCGGAAGCTTGAACAAGCTCAAGGAGATCAGGGTGACGGAACCTGGGTGCTGCCAGGGACTTCTGCCCTCACTACTCCGGTGAGATGGGGGAGGGAGGCACCTGAGGGGGATCCTAAGGGTAGTTGGAGGGAGGGAGGCCGGAGGCCTGAGTGGAACTGAAGACACCCTACCCTTTCTCTCCTCCTCAGGTCCCTGTCCCTGTCAGTCTGCATACCTCACCTGCCCCTGCAGAGACCCTTAGTTCCCTGGGAACACAGCCTAACTGCATCCCACTTTGGGGCAGTGTGGCCGGGCCTGCTCCCCAGGAAGCCTATGTGGAGAGGCCTCCTATTCCCCCAGGGTTCTCTCCACACATCTTTCGGGGCCCCTACCCCCAAGGGTTTTTCTGGGCCCCACAGACCGGTTCCTGGGTATCCTTTGGGGGCGTCCCCCACATGCCCTGTGCCTCTACTCCTGGGCCCCCTATCACTCCCGAAGGCCCACCCACCCCTGCGCCATGTAGCTCCGCCCAGCTGGAGAGGCAGGACCCCAGACCTCGGAAGGGTAGAGCCTGGCGCCCAGAATCTGCTGGGCGAGTCATGGTGGCTGACCAGGAGCCCAGCCCCCAGCTCCGCGGCCCTCTGGGCCAGGTGGTGACCGCTCGGCTCTTCCCCGACAGCCTGGAGGACACTCCCCCTCGACTCAAGGGCCTGCCTCCACCTCTGCCTGAATCTCAGAAAATGAAGACCGCACAACCCAAAACTAAGGTTATGCCCCGGTTCTCAGAAGTTACCTCCCCTCTATCGGATTCACGGTTTCCTCAGGCGATCCCACCTGGTCGGCCTAAGGCCGAGTCTCGAGATGCCAAAGCCACGCCTCCCGCAGAGGGGTGGGTGCTTTGCAAGGAAGTCAGGAATCCTCAGCCCAAGGCCCCGCCCCCTCCAGCTGAAGAGGCTTCCACCGGGGTTGAGGCCCCGCCCCCTTTGGTCGAGGCGGGATCTCTAGAGGCTGCGGTCACCTCCTCGCCAGCTGCTGACCACGCCCCCCCAGAGGACCTGCTCTCCCAGGCCGCGAGGCTTCTGCAGGCTGCTGAAGGTGAGCTGATGCGTGTGGCTGCTGGGATCTGCTGTCGAGCATGCTGAGTCCAGCCCCCTGGAGCTCGCTCTTTTTCCTCCAGATTCCGACAGCAGCGAGTTCCAGGAGGACCCTGTGCTGCAGGTGCTAAGGGTTCAGAGGGCCGAGCTGCGGCGGCAGAAAAGGTGACTATCTCCAGGCTTTATCTTCTGAGATTGCCGTCAAGTGTCCACCTCTCTTGAACCCCTTTCCCAGAACGATCCAGAGCCCCAGACCCCAATCCTGAGCACATACCTCAGCCTCTACTACCTGGCTTTTTTTCCAGGAAAGTGGACGCCCAATTATCCCTCCTACTGGGTCACACTGAAGACTCAGGGTCTTGGTCTCCTCCAGCCAGGTCGATCCCCAGGTCCTCAAGGATGCGGCTGAGGAGGGAAGGAGCCTCATTTGAGGCCAGAAGACTTTGAATTGTAGAAATTCTGTTTTTCCCAATGAAATGCTCTTTTTGGGTTACAGGTTGTCTCTGAGAAAAGAGTCTGGAAAGGCCAAGAGTCATGCTTGGGAAATAACACCCCCGCCACCCCACCCCCCCTACCCTAGGTACTGACTGTGGTACAGAATCTCTTCTAGTTTTATCCTCTTTGAGGTCTAGGCAGGGGTGGGGTTCCAGGCAAAGCTTCAGGCAGGACTGGGACACATCTTAACTCAGGAGTGGATCCTCCTGTCTCAGATGAGACAGAAGGAACTTCCCTCTTGGTATGAAGCTATCAGGGTGTTGGACAATGGTTAGTCCTCAGTCCACATCCTGCTTGAACCAGCACAGTATTTGGTTCATTGATCCCACCCTCCTTGAAGTTTTTCCTTCCCCTGCCTCTAGCATCACTGACATGTCACTTTGGTGTGTCCCAGGGCTCTGGTCTTAATTTCTCTATCTAAACTCTTCCCATGTGCTATTGTAGCTTCCTGGCTCTACATCCTATCTCTATTCTGATAGTCCCTAAATTTATATCTTCAGTCTAGACCTGGCCACTAAACCTCAGGCTTCTATATCCTGCTACCTGCTCATCATCCTCACTCACAGGTCTAGGAGATGTCCCATACTGCACAGGTCTTAAACTCAGCTCCCAATCTTCTCCCTAAACCTGCTCCTTCCAAACTTTCCTCAGCTTTGTCCTTCCTGCTCAGTCCAAAAGCCTCATAGTCGTCCTTGACTCCTGTCTTTTCCTTATACCCACAGTCAGTTGACCGCAAGTCCTGTCAGGTCTACCTTTAAAATCTATCCAGAATTTAACCCCTGCTTCCCCTTCCATGGCCCTCACCGTAGTCTAAGCTATCATTATCTGTTTGGACTATTAAAAACCTGTTTGTTTTGTCAGCAAGTTCTTTGAAACATTTCTTATAAAAAAGTAGAATCTAGATTTCTTCTCCTTGAAACTGGATAGAGCTTTGTGACCGCCTCCATAAACAGAATGCAGAGGAAGTGATACTGCTTTAAATTTATAAACTGGATTAGAAAAGATGATATAATTTCCATGTGGCTCCTCTTGCTCTCTCTTTCTTGCTCTCTCTTGCTCTCTCGAGCCCTGGGCTACCATTTAAAGAGTCCAGTTACCATGTTGGGTAGGGATTTGTGTTACACAGGTGTGTGCACTTGTCAACATGCAGTGAAATTTTTGAATTTCATTGTATGTAAAGTTTACCTCAAGAAAAATAAATATTGAAAAAAAAAGAAGTATTGAAATCTAGTTAAAGATATACATGCTGAATTATTTAGGGAACAGCATACCAATGTCTTAATTTATTTTGAAATACATTAAAAATTAGATTAATGGCCCTAACTGGTTTGGCTCAGTGGATAGAGCGTCAGCCTGCGGACTGAAGGGTCCCCGGTTCGATTCTGGTCAAGGGCATATTCCTTGGTTGCGGGCACATCCCCAATAAGGGGTGTGCAGGAGGCAGCTGATTGATGTTTCTCTGTCATCCATGTTTCTGACTCTCTATCCCTCTCCCTTCCTCTCTGTAAAAAATCAATAAAATATATTTTAAAAAATTTAGATTAATGGATGAATAGAGTAATAGGTGGATGTGAATAAAGCAAACAGTAAAATGTTAATGGTAAGATCTAAGTGGTGGATATATTGTAAATTGTTCAACTGTGCTGTATGTTAGAAACTTCATAATAAAACGTTGGAGAATATATAATCAGGATTATTTTGATATCTATTTTAAAACGGGAGGATGGAATAGATTTCTGTAAAAAGTTTCTGTGTATCACAGACATGGTAAATATTTGTTTACAGCCTTTTTGAACAAACCATACATTTAAATTAAACCAACAGGAAGGAAATATATGTTTAGATATAAAAAAATAAAAGATGTTTATAGTAGAAGAACCTGATCCAGTTGGAGGGTGAGTAAAGCCTAGAAGGATTCCTGAGAAGTTAGATTTAACCTGTGACAGGTAGACATTAACTAGTTGACAGAGGGCTCTTTTAATTACTATTGCTGGGTTACACATCACCCCCAAAATTTAGTGGCATAAAACAATCTGGCACCAGGGCTCACATGGTGAGCTGGAACTATAGACTATAGAAACTACACATGATTTCCATGTGACTTGGGCTTCCTCAGAACATGATTACCTCAGCATAACCACGTTTCTCACATGCCTCAACACATCTAGAGCTAGTCATTCCAGTAGACAAGGAGGAAGCTGCATTGCCTCTTACTACCTAACCTTGGAAGTCACATTATCTCTCTATTTTTATAATTTTTTTAAATCATTACCCAAGGAGTAAGAATTCCTCCCCCCACCCGCACCCCCCGCATTAATTTTAGAGTGAAGGGAGGGTGTAGAGGGGGAGAGAGAAACATCCATGTGACAGACACATTGATTGGTTGCCTCCCACACGCACACGGACTGGGGGTAGGGATGGGACCTGCAATCCACGTACGTGCCCTTGACCAGGAATTGAACCTGTGACCCTCGGGTAAGTGGGCTGATGCTCTAACCACTTAGCATTGCTGGCCAGGGTGGAAGTCACAATCTCTATTAGTTGAAGTTGTCACAAATCTGCCCAGATTCAAAGGGGAGGGGATGTACTTTCTACCTTTAAATGAGAGAAGTGTCAAAGGATTTGCAACCACCACAGAGGTTGAGTGGGAAAAGAGGATTACTCCAGGTAGAGGGAACATCACATGGGAGGTATCTGTGATGAGAGTGAGGTCTGCGAATTTAATAAATTGAAGTGAGTACCTGTAAATTGACCCCTCCTCCAGTACTCCCCCCAATCCCTGCTTAATTGAAAAAAAATTTTTTTTATTGATTTCAGAGAGGAAGAGAGAGGGAAGAGAGATAGAAACATCAATAATGAGAGCGAATCATTGATCGGCTGCCTCATGTACGCCCCATACTGGGAATCACAACCCGGGCATGTGCCCTGGCCAGGAATTAAACCATGACCACTGAGCCACACTAGCTGGGTCCTGCTTACTTTTTATCCATAGAACTTATCACCTTCTAATATTCTTTATTTTTAAATATTTATTTTGTTCACTGTTTTCTCCCACTAGTTTTTTAGTTCCATGTGGGCAGGGTACATTTTCCTGTTTTGTTTACTGATGTGTCCACAAATTAAATAAGTGGTAGGAGTTTTTTGAATGAATGAGTAGGTGGGTCAAGGATGAACCTTCTGAGGTGAAAGCCTTGTTGAAGGCATGACCAATGAGAGTTCTCTTGGAAAGGGTGTTAGTGTTTTCTGAATCTGGCTCATCAGCAGCGGGAAAGATTGGGATAGCTTTTTGGGAGGCATGGCCATGTTCTGGCATTTTGGGCTAAACTTACTCCTAGGAAAAAGGATTCAAGGCTGGAGGCTGATCTGTAAAAAACAGTAGAGAAGGCAAGGAAATATCCAGTGGGTAGAGCCAAGTCGCAGAGTGCCTAGAATTATGTCCCAGGCAGGGCATTTGAGTCCATGGAAAATGCCCATGGGCGAATGTCCTCAGTATTCTGAAGACAGGGTTGGGGTCAGGACAGGCAAGGTGTGACTTAGAGGATTGGAACTTTGAAAAGCTGCTTGCCGATGGAGAAAAGCCCTGAGCCCACGGGAGAATCCAGTTATGAGTGTCAGAGGAGCGGTTACTGAGAGTAGACTGAGGGGAGGCCCTTGCTTAGCGTTAGAAAAAGCAAAGCGTAAAGAACCTGGCGGGTGTCTCGGGGACGACGGCCAACGAAAGAGGTCCTGGGCGTGGCGCTGTCAAACTCTTCGGGGCGGGGCCGAAGAGACCCAGCCGGGAATGGTGTTCAAGCCGAAGCCAATGAAAAGCCGTCCGAGGCGGGGAGCCAAGGAGAAGCGGCGCCGCGCCTCCGCTGTGCCCGCCCCCGTGGGACCAGCGGCTGAGCGGCTAGAGGCGGAGACTAGAGTCGCCCGCGCGCGGCTCGCGCCCTCCCCTTTGTGTCGCCATGGCGGCGGCTTCGGCGACGAGGACGACGATGGAGGGGTCTAGCGCGGCCAGCGCCTGAGGAGGCCACGCGACCATGGTGGTGAGGGGCCTACGCGGCCGTCAGACCATCCGCGTGGCAGTCTGTCCACGCACGGGAGCGGCTAGAGGCGGAGACTAGAGTCGCCCGCGCGCGGCTCGCGCCCTCCCCTTTGTGTCGCCATGGCGGCGGCTTCGGCGACGAGGACGACGATGGAGGGGTCTAGCGCGGCCAGCGCCTGAGGAGGCCACGCGACCATGGTGGTGAGGGGCCTACGCGGCCGTCAGACCATCCGCGTGGCAGTCTGTCCACGCACGGACGGCAAGGATCCGGCGTCCCCCGAGCGGTCCCCGCGGGGGCCTGCGGAAGCTCCCCGGGCTCCTCACCAGCCTCCATACCCGCGCCGCCTTCATTGTCCTCATCCCAACCTCCACGCGACCGGGCCTTCCTCCCCCTCCGCCCACCAGCCACTTTTCCATTCTCGAGCCCCACCCCCACTCAGCTCCATCCTCAGCCTAACCCTTTTCTTCTCTTTCTCATCATTTTCACCCCATCCCAGGCCCACTCAACCGAACCTCCTCCGCTCCCATCAGCCTGAACCTCATCCTTTCCAGCTGCTCCCCTCCTACTTACTCCACTCCAACCCCAGCACGATCCTTGGGTCCTCTCCATCTTGTCCTCATCCTCCCTCCCCTACCGGCTCCCTCTTCCACCCGCTGCTCCTGCTCATTCATCCATTCCCTCATTCCCTCACTTAACAGATATTCACTGAGACCTCTGCAAGCCCATGCTCTAGACAGCCCCCATAGAGAAAGTCAGGACCCGTCCTGCCTTGGGGGGTTTCATGGGTTGGAGGGGGACAGATCCGAGGGGGAGACCCAAGGTTGAACTTGGGGTTGCAGGGAGATGAAGGGAGAAGCTAGAGCCAGTCTGGGAAATCCCCATCTGACAGCTGGTTAATTCATCAGATTTTATCCGGTCCCTGCTGGCAGCTGGGCTGAAATTGGGCATGGGGACCCAGCGAGGAATCAGGCACCAATTCTGTGTCCCCCTCTGCTGGGCATTGCTGGGGAGCTAGCTGGGAGGTCACAGTCCAGTGTGGGAGATGGACTTGTCGCCAGATAGTGATGTCTCAGAGTGCTCAGGGCTATGATGGGGAAAACCAGGCAGAGTCCTCAAGCTAGGATGGAGGAACTTCAGGGGATGGGAGAGTCCAGAGAGGTGACTGATACAGCCTGAAGGGTCAGGGAGAACTGAGGAGGAAACATGAAGAGCTGAGATGTGAGAGATGAGGAAGAGTGAACCTAGTGAAAGAATGGGGAAGGTGTTTCACGCAGAGGGGACAGCCTCTACAAAGACCTAGAAGAAAATGAGAAGATGGTGCTTTTGTTGGGCTCTCAGAAATTTGAGAGGTCTGAGAGTGGAGGCAATGGGAAGAGATAAGGGTGGAGAGGTAAACAGAGACCAGAGAATTATCTTGAAGACAACAGGGAGCCATTGAAGGTCCATGATCTATGGAGAGACAGAGGCAGATGTGTGTTGTGTGAAAATTATACTAGTGCTTGCTGTGGAGATGCTGGTAGGAGGGGAGAGGTTGGAAGCAGGAAGACTGATAAACTGGGAGCTGTGGTTGTCCAGACAGTGATGAGAGGTGTGGAGAGGCACAACTGGAAGATGACTATATTCTGCAGGGGCTACAGGAGGAGTTTAAATCCAAAGAGATGGTACCAGCCTTCTTTCTTCCTGCCTCACCCTGGGCCCTTCCTCTTCCAGCCCCCCCACCCCAGACCACACAGGAAGATGAAGAACTATCATCTGGTCTTCACCTCCCCCTGACCTCCTCTGCTACTCCATGCTCAGAGCAGTGTATGGAGTGATTCAGGCCTCTAGGCTCAAGGTGGCAGATAACAATGCTCCCGTTGTCTCTGTTCCCATCTCTGGGGGCCTCTGATTCTTCTTCCTGCTCCACAGGCCCGCAGCACTGACAGCCTGGATGGCCCAGGGGAGGGCTCAGTGCAGCCCCTGCCCCCCACTGGGGGTCCCAGTGTGAA